GGAAAAATCTTCCAACAGACGATGGGGAGTGACTTGTTCAGGACTGCCATCTGCTGGAGTTTCAAATTAAAAAGATAATGCAACGGGGGGGGGGGATATTAAGAAGGGACCTGAAGCCACACCGATGTGCCCTCATTTCTGTTGCTGATCCCATGATTTACAAACTGTCCTCCCTTCTAGTTTACAGTCTTTAAAATTATATATATATAAATTCTGTGGAATGCTGTGCAGACAGGGAACCAAAGCAAGAGCTGGGCCCACTGATCACTAACTGCAACGGATCTGCAGCCTGCAGGAAAGAGCAAAGCATGGAGGTCTCTTCCTTCCTCTTGAGGCCACTGCTGGCTTTCTCATTCCTGAATGCCTGGCCAGCCTTTCAAGCCGTCTAGCCACCCTCCCTTTTTTGTTTTCCAAACTCTTGCTTTCGCCCCCAATTATTTTGGCCTATGGTGCAAAGGGGTGTTAGCCGCTCTTTCCAATCTAGGCAAAAACTTCAGTTGTTAGAAGTTGAAGATAAACATGAATGATCAGAAGCAACAGAGATAGACAGAAATAGACTGGTGACATTTCATCTGGTGTTTAGTTCGTCTTGACTCCCATCCTGCTTTGCTCAGCTCTTTTTATGGAAATAAGTGACTGCATCACAATGGTGGACATTGTTAGAAACTGAGATATGGAAGCCAGGAGCTAAGTGGCACCTTAAAATACGTTCATTCTTCACATGGTCTAGTCCAGGGGTCTGCAACCTTTAAGACAAAAAGAGCCACTTGGACCCGTTTCCGAAGGGAAAAAAACTGGGAGCCGCAAAACCATTGCAACATTTAAAACAAATATATCTCCGGAGCCGCGATCTGACAGCGGGCGGGAAGGTGACGTCGGGACGGTGCGTGACTAACGCACGCACCGCCCCCAAGCGACATCACAGCCAGTACAGCGCCCGCCACAGTGAGGAGTGTTGGGGCGCACAATGCGCCTCCTCCCCTTGCTAGTATCCGCCCCGGAGCCGCGGCAAAGGTGTAAAAGAGCCACATGCGGCTCCGGAGCCGCGGGTTGCAGACCCCTGGTCTAGTCCTTCCCCTGCCCACCTTCCCTAATATTTTAAAGAAGGTCTCTTCTCCAGAGTAGCTGGAAGTGGGGAGGCAGAAAAAGGCCCTTTTCCTTCCACTCTGCAGGTTTAATCTGAAATCTTAGGTGCAGTACTGCACCCAGAGCTCAGAAACTGCTTGCACTAATGAAATTTCCTGTCGCAAAATGCACCTAGAACAGTGGGAGATTTGAACAGTGATTTCCTCTTTTTTAAAAAACTACAATGCCGCTGAGTCCTCCCATTTGATTGCTTTTGCCTGCTCATAAACTGGTATGGTCAAAGAGGCTCCTTACAGTTCATCAGCTTGCAGTTTACAATCTTGTAACAAAGATTGTAAACATTTCAAAATGCACAGTAAATTTCTAATTATTGTTTGAACACAAACTGAACTTTTAATATACCAAACATAATTTAATGGTAAACCAAGTTACACATAACACGTTTTATATTCCTAAAGGAACAAAGTGACTTTTCGATGTGCACTAACAAACTATTGCATATTCTCAATTTCTACCAAAATTTGGTATTCCCTCCCCCCCCCAAAAAAAAAAAACTCTCTAGCAAAGATCTGGTTCTTTTTCAGTGACTTCAGAAGACTTCTCTAAAGCTGTCTGGAGTTGGCCGACAGTGCAAAGTCTTGCGGAAATCATTTTTGTGGCCAGTCCTTCATTTACTAGTAATCCATTTGATAGGGTGACATTTCTGGAATTATGTGAAAAACCACCTCTATTCTCACCATGCTGTCAAGTGCAGCAGCTGTTGCTGTGCTGCCCTCATTGTGTGCAAGTCTCGCCCTCCTACAAAGCCATGAAGCAAAACATGCAAGGACCCTTTTTAAGCAAGTCTGTGAAATAATCCTTTGGTTCTCACCTGACAGCGTTTTTAACCAATGTGTGGTCAGAGCTGTGAATGATGAGAAAGTTGTTTGGACACCACGAAGTAGGAATCCCTGAGGTCATAAAGAGTTTCTGTCCTTTCTGAGCAGTCTTTGGAATCTCCATTTTTGCCACCCCCCCCAAAAAAAAACCAGGATTTTTCTTTTCTGTGGCGGGTTTGTCTGAGATCAGGTAATCCCTAGAAGTTCCTTTGGCAACTACCACTTAAACAGCAAATGCAGGTGAATCTTCAATTGTGCGAGGGGAAAATGGCTTCCTCTCAACCATTGGGCAACAGAGAAGAAGCCTCGGGCGCGACAAAGCCCTGCCTGGTACTGTGGATTTCTTTTGCAATTATTGTAAAGTTCCACCATGTTTCCACAGGACTGTTAGTTGTACCGGGGGAACTTTAAGTTGAGGTCAAGCAGGATTATAAGATAAATAGAAAATCCTTGGAAGTAACAAATAGGCTTAGGGGTAGAATAAGGATACGTGGTAGTAAATATTAAGGATTAGAATATTAATAAAGGAGAAGAGGTTAGTAAATGAAAGGAGTTAATATTATTAGAAATATGAACTTGGAGAACTGTTATAAAGGTGATATAATGAAATTCAGCTAGAGGGGATTCGAGGAAGTCAGTCAACAATGTGATGAAAGTTGGATATTTGAAGAGATCTTTTTTCTTGTGTGTTTAGTTTATTGTGGTGTGTGTTTTTTCTTTGTTGTGTATTTTGTTATGTTATTTTTGTGATGAATGTTGAAAAGCAATAAAATTTTTGGAAAAGGAAAAAGAAAGTTGAGGTCAGGCAGGGTCTGGGAGAGGAGCAAAGACAGGAGTGCAATCTGCAAGGCTCTGAAGGGCTAGTCCTGCAGAAGCCAGAGCGGAGCCCTTTGTTGTCGCTGCAGAGAAGCGCTGGCTGGGAAGGACAAAGCAGATGATCTTGGCTGAAAGACAGGAGGACCAACAGCTTCCTAAGAGACAGGAGCTGCACCAAAGTGGGACCCTCTTCCTTGGGGGGCGTTGGGCTGTCCTTCGCTGGAGGCACTGCAGGAGGGGCTGACAGCCATCGTGTCAGGGATCCTGCCATGTGCAGGCAGCAGGGTGCGCTAAAAGACCACAAAGGTCCTTTGCCACCCCACAGCTTTTGTTGCCTTTCTCACTGCTGCCACACAGGGAGCCAACGTTTCCCACCTGCTGTCTACAACCCCTTCCCCACCAACTTAGACCCCATAAGCACAGACGTGAAGGGAGGACCTTTGCCGCCCACCCCAGGCACAGCAAATATACTTACTTTCAGCGAATTGTTCATACTGTACAGGGGTTCCTTGGTTCTCATACGCCTTGGGACTCAAACAACTTGGAACCCAAACACTGCGAACCTGGAAGTATGTGTTCCTGTTTGCGAACTTTTTTCGGAAGCTGAACATGCTCCGTTTTGAGTGTTGCGCTGGGGTCTGTTTTTGCTATTTAGTTTGCATTTGTTTTTGTGGCTGTGTGGAACCCAGTTCAGCTACTAATTGATTGTGTGACTGCAGTACATTGTTGCTTTCATTTTAGGGATCACTGGTCTCGTTAGATAGTAAAATTCATGTTAAATTGCTGTTTTATGGGTTGTTTTTAAAAGTCTGGAATGGATTAATCAATTTCCCGTTACTTTCTATGGGAAAGCGTGCCTTGGTTTTGGAACGGACTTATGGAATGGATTAATTTTGAGATCCAAAGTACCACTGTACTTATTTGCCATTTCGTGGCCTGTCGCCTGCCTGGGAGAGAGCCCTTTGGAGCTCTTCAGAGCTACCTCCTGTTTTCCATGAGTTTCGCTCGCAAGCCTGGCCACCTGACCTCTGACTCCAGATCAGGGAAGTGACCCCAGGCCCGGCACCATCCTTTGGGCACCCCACTTTTTACTTCTCTCCATTTACCCCTCAGCGCTTCCTGTTCCTTAAGCAGCTGTTCGCTCAGGAGCTTTTGGCCAGCACCTGGGTAAACGCTGCTGGGAAATCCTGATCTGCTGAATCTTCCCAATCCTTGTAGAAGCCAGGCTGCCCCTCCTGCTCACTGGGGCGCTCAGAAGGGCAACTTCAGCAGCACTTTCCAGCATTTGTCAGGAACAGAGGGGGTTAAGCTGACATACCGAGTTTCCTGGATCCCCATTTATTTAAAAATATTTCTATGTCACCTTCCATAAATCCTAAGGCGCTTCACAAAGCACACCTTAGAAGTTCAATTGGCCCATCAGGGAAGAGGCTGAATGAACAGGCATCCCTATAAGCAGGCCAGCCAGCAACATCCTTGGAACGGGGGGGGGGGATCTTTAGCAAGAGCTTAAATGACACGGCTGCCAGCACCTGGTTACCATAAGGAGGCCTTCTAGCACCACCCCCACCCTGGTCTGAAGTGCTGCGGGGGGGGGGGGAGCAAGTGGAGCCATTTGCCACTGAAATACCCTCTCCAGGGAGGCCTGCCTGGCACCCCTCACCATGGCTGTTTCTTCTTTGAACCTCTCACGTGTATAGTTCTAACGTGGGAAAATCTAAACTACCTGGATGAATTGCTGGTGGTAAGCGTGATGCTCACTTTCTGCTGTAGTGTTTACTGCTTTGCAAGTCATGGTATGTATGGTCATGCAATGATGCTGAAGGCGCAGGATGGACAGCGTGCAAATGAATATGGAGGCAGGGAGAGGAAGCTCTAGTAGGGCAGGAAGAGGATGTCTGTTGTTTCACACGGACATGGAACAAACCCTAGAGCCGGAAAGGGAGAGGGGAGCATCCGTGGGGCTCCGTTGGGGGGCCAAGAGCAGGGAGGGAGGGAGGCAGGCCCAAGCGAAGCCTCTGGCTCCTGCCCATTGCAACCCTGCCAGGCCAGTTGGTGCTGAGAAAACGCTTAACCATGCAGAGGTTCCCCACGGCTGGAACTTCTCCAGGGGCCTGGTCTGGAGTCCAGAGGCCCAGTGCTCTCCCTCCGGGGTCCACAGCAGAGATGTTGCCAGGAATCAGACACACACAGCCCCAAGGAGGGAGCAGAGCCACTTGGTGCAGAAAATCCACAACGGTTTTATTCACAATTAATATGGAGTATGATGACAGCTGAGCACACGTGGGATTCTCTGCCCACGCGCTCACGCCAACACAGCCAGCTGGCCTCAAAATGAGACAACCCCCATGGGGGTCAAACCACCACAGGCAGATTCCGACAAATCCCCACGACCTGGATTTCCGTGGGCCTAAAGGTCCATTTGCAGAGACTGGTGCTGGGCTGTCATGATTCTGCAAGGGACCACAGCTGTAACAAAATCTCCTTTTTACCCTCCCCACCCCTCTCTCTCACACACAGAGCACTCCTCCTCCTGTGTCAGAACTGCAGGAACCAAGGGTCTAGCCACAAAAGGTACCCTCCTCAGCAAGGTGGGGGGACTGGGACCCTTCCCCACAAAGGTCACAGCATCACCTGCAGAGCTCAGCTTTGCTGAAAAGGGACTATGGGCAGGATAAACCTCTTTCCCTTGAAAGGGGGACCAAGGCCAGTTCCAGCCTGGGCTTCAGTGGGAAGGGGGGGGGGTATTTCCACCCAGAAAAAGAGGAGGAATGGGAGGGGGCAGAGCAGCCTGAAGGACCCCAGCCTCTCAAGAGTGCCTGCTTTCAAAACTATGGGCAAGTCTTTGTGGGGGGCTCCAGGGGGAGGCCTGCCTGGGGACCCCAGGCCTGGAGCAGTTCCCAAAGGCTCACAGCACCGAGGAGTGTCCTCAATTCATCTATGGGGCCCATACCCAGGGTTAAGAGATTTGGGGGGTGGGCAAGAAAACATTCCCTCCCCAGTAGGGACCGGCCAGCTTCAGATCTGAGACGCAAGGGAGAGCACGCCCAGATCTCTTCCGAGACAGGCAGCCCCGAGGGAGGAGGTGTCTGTGGCGCCCGTGTGCTGGGGGGGCCGGGTGGGGAGCAGCCGAGGGCCAGGCCAGCCCTAGGCCCCGTAGTGGGGGTGCAAGTGGTCAATCACAGACTTGACGAAGTCAGAGGTGGTCGAGTAACCGCCCATGTCCTGCGTCCGCACCTACAATCCAACACAGGGAAGGAGGGGAGAGGGAGACAGACATGTGGCTGTGAGATGTGGGAGGGGGGAAACACGAACCCCCCCCCAAAAAAAACAGGGAAGGGGACAGTCCCAAGCTGCACCCAGAGAAAGTGAGAGGCAGAGGGAGACACAGAGACACTCTCACCCCACCGAGGCCACAGACCACAAGACGGCACATCTGTGGACCCCACAAGACGGTCCACAGAAGGCTCTGAAGAGGGGAGACGACAGGACAAGGGGAACAGCTGGGAGAAGGGGGCAGAAGACGCAGGACCCCAGCCCCATTTCCTGCTGGATGCTAGCAAGTACACATGGCTGGCTGTTTGCAGCTGCAAAGAGGAGAGAGGCTGTGCTGGGAAGAGTCTCGTCCTGTAAATGGCACCAAGAACCAGCCGTGCCACAAGCGGCGAGGTCTCCCCAAAGGGGTCTTCCTTAGGGGAGTCACAGGGATGGAACAACCACACACACAAGATTCCCAATCAGGTTCTGCGTGAGAGAGAGGCGGCCCTGTTTGTGGCCAGGCCCCAGGGTGGGAGAAGTCTGAGATGGCTTGGGGGCAGGCCATCGTCCCTTCCCTGCCAAGGGCATCTGATCTTTATTCCCGGTTCCACACGGAGAAACTGGCGTCTCTCTGAGAGCTGCGTCCACTGAGCTGCAGTTGTGCTGGTGAATGGGGGTGTGTGTGTGCTGTGCCCGAGCAAACGGAGTGGGGGGAGCGACTTGGGTGCCCAGGTGTTGAGATCAGCAGGGGAGGCCTGGCTGGTGTGCAAGGCCTTGGGGGAGAATGGCAGAGCCTCCTTTGTGGTGGCTCCCAGGGGGGTGGACTGACCTCAGCTTGGAGGGATGTATGCCTGGCCACCACTGGCCAATTTACTCAGGAGGCCTTTGGCTGAGCAGGAGACTTCCCTCCTGCTGCTGCTCTGTGAGGCTGTTTTGTTACTTTTGTTAATTTTGGGGGTTTTATTTTAGGAGTTTTTGGTGGGGACGCAGGAGTGGGCCTTCTCAGGAGCTGGGCTGCCTCCCTCCTTGCTGTCCTTCTGCTGGCAGATGAAGCCTGTTTTGTTCCAACAGGCCTTTGGGAACTGTTTTTTAAGGAAGGGCTTTTAATTGTGCTGTGCTGTTTTTGCTATCTGTACTTTAAAGGATTTAATTTTACGCTGTTTTAATTCTATTATAGTTTGATCACTTTTTAACTTTTACAGTGGTACCTCGGGTTAAGTACTTAATTCTTCCAGAGGTCCGTTCTTAACCTGAAACTGTTCTTAACCTGAAGCACCACTTTAGCTAATGGGGCCTCCTGCTGCTGCCGCCGGAGCACGATTTCTGTTCTCATCCTGAAGCAAAGTTCTTAACCCGAGGTACTATTTCTGGGTTAGCGGAGTTTGTAACCTGAAGCGTATGTAACCCGAGGTACCACTGTATAAGCTTTTGTGTGCATGCACACTTTTTCAGATACCATAAATATTAATTAAATATTAATTCTTCAGCCCATAGGAAGGGGTTAACTTTATTTTACTTATACGCAACTCATCACTCCTAAAAGAGCACCCTCAGGGGCTCCCACTCCAGCCTACAAGTTGCCCCTCAGCCTCTGGCCAGAACGGCCGGCCCGTTTCTTTCTGCTATTTCTGGGTTAGCGGAGTCCGTAACCTGAAGCGTATGTACCACTGTATATGTTTTTTGCTTTTCTATTTTATTTGTGCTGCTTTAATTTGTGTAAGCTGCCTTAAGTCCTGCGCTGAGGAAAAGGAGGGGTATAAAATAAATATAATAATAATAATTTGAAAATAATTTTAAGTAGGATATTTTTGTAATCCACCCGGGCACCATTAGATGGTGAGCTCTAAGTACAAACAAGCCCCAATAGCCTCCTCCTCTGGGGGAGTGAGTCAGCGGCCCTGGCAAATTCTGCCCCCCCCCTCTCCTTGGCCTGAACTCCCCCCCCAACTGCCCCAACAGAACCTGCCAGCCAGAACTGGGCACAACACGGAGGGAAGAGAAGCAGAGACAGGCTCAGCACACAGCAGAAAGGAAAGGACAGAAATCAGACAGCTCAATACTCACTTTGCCAACTTTGATCACCTTCCTGACGGCGTCCGAGATCATGGTGGAGTGGTATTCCAAGCTAGACAGGGGAGGAGGAAAGAGGAGGCTGTCACGAAGAGTAATAACCCTGTGAGGTATGTCACCCCGGCCATCACCTCTTCATAGCTATCAACCTTTCCCTTTTCTTGTAGGGAATCCTATTTGGAGTAAGGGAATTTCCCTTTAAAAAAGGGAAACGTTGAGAGCTATGCGCCTCTTTAATCTTCTGCCCTTGGGCAGGAGATATAGAAGTATAATCAGCCGTACCAACAGGCTAAAAAATAGCTTTTGTCTGGGGGCTGTTGAACGGAAAATAACACAGTGAAATTGATTTGCGAGGTGGTGTGTTGTTCGATAAGCACAGAGTGCAATGAGACTGAGTGTTGGGGGGGGAGGGAGGCTCATTTAATTTCATGGTACACAGGTTGTACAATGACAATGAAGGTGATATTATTATTCTGCTCCCCGCCCTCTTGCCACTCAGCCCAGGGAACTCACTTGAGATGCCTCAACATGTTGGCCGAGGAGAGCAGCATGGCCGTGGGGTTGGCGATGTTTCTGCCCACTGCCTGAGCAAAGGGGTGACGGGCACCCTGGAAGGAAGGAGAGAAAGGGGAAAACGCTCTCAGACACGTTGTGCCGCCCAGCTTCCCCTAAAGCCCCCAGGTTGGAGGGAGGGCGAACCCGGCCCCGCTCAGTTCCTCACCATCTCAAAGACGGCGTATTCGGCGCTGTAGCTCTCTCCAGGAACCACACCGGCCCCACCCACCAGGCCGGCCGCCAGGTTGTCGATGATGTTGCCGTACAAGTTGGGCATGACCAAGACGTCGAACTGGTAAGGGTTTTGCACCAGCTGGAAGGAAGACACGGCACACCGTCGCACGTGGAATCGCGGCAGGAAGCACCCTCCCGTCATGCCAGTCTCACGGGCAGCTCACGGTTTTGTGCCCAAGCTCCTCTGCAGGCCACATGCCAGGAGGGGGTGAGGCCGCCCCGCAATCAAAACTTGCAGGGGCACACCACCAGCGCTGGGGGACTCGTCTGGCAACCCACAAGCCTGGGCAGAGGGGAAGGGTCCCCAAGGGAATGCATCTGCTGAAGGAGGCAGGGGGAGGGAGGGGCCGAGGGGCCTGACCTACCTGCATGCAGCAGTTGTCTATGATCATGGTGTCAAATTTAATCTTGGGATACAACTCAGACACCTCTTTACAGCAGCGCAGGAAAAGCCCATCGCCCAGTTTCCTGAGAGAGAGAGAAGGCAGTTTGAAAAAATTCTGGACGCTGTCCAAAGTGGGTAAGGTGGAAACAGTAGACAGACTTGGGGTGGAATTCAACGAAGGCTGACTCACTGAAAGTAAGGAGCATGACCATGTTAGGTCATTCATCTCAACAGGTCAACCACTTTGTTCCATGGAATTGGCTCTGTCCCCAAGGGTCGTTCAGCATTTGTAAGAACATGACCCCTTAGTGTGGCAGCACAAACACTTGGGAACCCCCTGGGTGTTGAGATGGGGACTGGGGGCAGGAAAAGGAGCCCCCAGCCGGCCAGCCAGCCCCTGCCCTCCCGCTGCTCCCCACTCACATGATGTTGGCTTTGTGGACGGCCGTGACCTTGGAGCGCCCTTTCTTGGTGGCAAAGTCAAAGGCAAACTTGGCAATGCGCTGGGACTTGGCCCGAGTGATGATCTTCATGCACTCGATGACACCCTTGGCACTCTGAGCACAGAGGGGGCACAAGCAGCACAAACCACATGAAGGAAGGCTTTGCCCCCACCAAGCCCCCCCCCTTTCAAGCACAGAGTGGGAAGAGACATCAGGTCTCCTGGGCTCTGCTCAGAGACTGGCTCCACCTGGCTCTTCCTCCTCCTCTGCCCCCTCCTGCATGAGAACTGTTTCCTTTCAAACTTTAAGAACTGGTGCCAGGGTTTGCTTGTTTTCCTCATCCCATCCCAACCCATTTCCTTTTGTGCTGCGTCTTTTGGAATGTAAGCCTGCCAACAGGGGTTGTCTTGTACATCAACGTTCTTAGGCAAGTTGCCCTTAGATCTAAATGAACCTGCTTAGCATGAATGAATGAATCTGAAGCAAGCAGAGCCTGCCTTCTCCAAGCCAAGGGGAGAAGCCCCACACCAGAGGGGTGTACAGTTAAGCAGACTGGCTCCTATCCCACTAGAAAACTGCTTTGCATGCTCCCCTTCCGACCTCCACCCCAAAGGTTCACACAAGCTTTGTCTCCTCCCCACTCCCCATTTTACTGTGGGGGCTGTCAGTGTACACAGCCTTTCACCTCCGACCCCATTACCAAAGGTTACGTTAGAAACGTCCTTCCCATTCACACAGTGGCTCTCGCACTCCCTGCATCTTGCTCAATTGCGTAACATTAGGCAAACTGCAGGACCAGCACAGCCAGGGACAGAAGCCCTCCCAGCAGATGCCAAACAGATATAATAATTTATAATAATAATTTCTTATTTATACCCAGCCACTCTGGGCAGCTTCTAACGGAATATTAAAATGCAATAACCTATTAAACATTAAAAGCTTCCCTAAACAGAGCTGCCTTTAGATGTCTTCTATGAGTCTGGTGGTAGTTCTTCTCTTTGACATCTGCTGGGAGGGTGTTCCACAGGGAAGGCGCCACTACCGAGAAGGCCCTCTGCCTGGTTCCCTGTAATTTGGCTTCTCGCAGGGAGGACACTGCCAGGAGGCCCTCAGCACTGGACCTCAGTGTCCGGGCAGAACGATGGGGGTGGAGACGCTCCTTCAGGTATACAGGACCGACGCCGTTTATGGCTTTAAAGGTCAGCACCAACTATTTAAATTGTGCTTGAAAATATTCTGGGAGCCAATGTAGACCTTTCAAGACCGGTGTCATGTGGTCTATGAGCTATGTGCTCTTCAAAATACACCTGAAGGCAGCCCTGTTCAGGGAAGTGATGTGTTTTGACTCTCTTTTGTCAGGAGCTGCCCAGAGTGGCTGGGGTCACCCAGCAAGATAGGTGGCATGTAAATTATATATTTATTTTCATTTCTGTATTGGCGGCACTCACCTCGTGCTCCAGGGAGCTGTACTCGCCCTCCGTCTGCTCACGGATGATCACCAGGTCCAGGTTGTTGTGCCGCGTTTTGTAGCCGGGCAGGCTGTTCACACGGACCACGTTGGCAAAGAGGTCCAGCTTGCGCCTGGAAGAGGGAAGCCAGAGTTACCGAGACAACCACCACCATTTTAAAGTGCTGTTTCAACACCAGCCGGCCCCACATCCTCCAACTCAATCTGCCCCCATGGCTGCTCATTCAATTCTCTGTCTGTTCAGTCACCAGGATGGGCTAGCCCAGCAATAATTAACAAAACAAACAAACAAACAAACAAACAAACAAATAAAGTTTATTATTTGTATGCCGCCCGTCTGACTGGGTTTCCCCAGCCAATCTGGGTGACTTCCAACAAAATCTAAAACCACCACACATTAAAAACTTCCCTATCCAGGGCTGCCTTGAATAAGGCAAAGACACCTGAGCCGTGGCTTTCACCTCGCCTGTATGCCCCCTGTATGCGATCTACCTCTCCCCTCTGAAATGCATTTAAGCCGGACTCCTTGGAGTGCAGCAAGATTGGTACCAGAAACTTCATCGCTAATTAACTCTCATTTCGCTTTGTATTTATGTATTTAAGGCTAGACGGTTTGGTGGTGGTTGTTTTTTGCAATTTGTAGTATTATTCTGTTTGCTAAATTGTTGATTCTTGTCATTTTTTAATTTACCGATAGGCTCCGCATTTTGATATTTTGGATGTTTGCTGCTTTGGGCAAAGCTCATTGTGGAAAAGCATCATATAGGGAAACACAACCTTTCCATCCTTTCAGACAAGAGCAAATTGGATGCCTTTAGCTGGATGGTGGCGGCATTTGAAGTTTATGTAGTCTACCCGGCGCAAGGCTGCCGAAACTTACCTGAGCCTCATGTCGTAGGAGGCCAGTTCCCCTTTGTATTCCATGGGGGTGTGGATCTTTCCTGCAATGGCGAGAGACAGTGTGAAAATACCCCAGCCCTCTGCAGAGGAGAGCCACAGGGTAATAAGGGGAGGGGAGCCCCCGTGAAGGTGTGAACTGGCAGTCTCTGAAACCTCGCTGGGGGCAGCCCAGAGAAAGCCGTCTCCTTGCAAGATATAAGCCACTTCCCCATGGCCCAGACCAGGCATAGGCAAACTCCGGCCCTCCAGATGTTTGGGACTACAATTCCCATCATCCCTAGCTAGCATGACCAGTGGACAAGGATGACGGGAACTGTAGTCCCAAACATCTGGCAAGCCGAGTTTGCCTATGCTTGGCCCAGATCCATGCCATGGGCCTCTAAGGCATATGAAGGAAGCCCTTGCCTACCAACTTCCCCTCACGCCGTACCAATGAGGGCCACTTTGCTCTTGTCCATAGAGCCAAGGACTTGATTCAGGATCTCCTCTGAAGCCATGTTCTGCACCTCACTCAGGTGGTGCTCATCAAACTGCACAGGGACACCAGCTGCCTGCAGAAACACACAGGAGGGGAGAAGGTGGGGTGTCCTCCTGCTGGGTCACATGGCCAGGGTGGGCCCCTTCTGCCCCTGGAGAGCTCTGACTTCCACATACACATGGTCGTCCCATGCAGAAGAAAGCAGTGCATCCCTCTCCGCCTCTTGCAAGGAATGTCACATGCGGAAAGGGAATCCTGTCGAGGTGCGCGGGCACTGCGAAACACCCACACTGGCTGTCACAGGCACCCCCAAGGATGAGCCAAGCCAGGAGAGATTTCCCCCAGCAACCCTGTCATGCAGCTGGGCTTGGGACTCTGCTCTGAGCCCCACTGTCTTGACCTGAGGACCAGACCTTAGGGCTTGACAGCACAGACACCACGGATTCATTCAGCGCAAGAGACTGGAGCGTCTCAGCCAGCCAGCCCTTTGCCTCCTCCCCCAAGCCAAGCTCTTGAGAAACCGCCAAGCGAAGCAAGCGCTCTTACCTTGAAGACTTCCTTGACGGAGTGCATGAGCTCGGGGCCCACCCCATCCCCCGGGATCATGGTGACTGGGAACACCCCCTCTGAGCTGAAGCTCTCCGCCTAGGAGAGAGCACAGAGTATCACCAATCCCGTTCCTCATAGCAAGGGGAGCAGATCTGGGTTTTACTCCCCGTCCTCTAGAAGGGGTTAAAAAAAACCAACCATCTAAACTAGGGGAAATTATGAAAATCGGATATACAGCTAAATGAGCAACCTGGCAGGAGCTGAACAGATTTTATCTCTCTTATTTAAAAAAAACACCTTAGTCATAGAACTGTCACACCAAGGGTCATCTGGTCCAGCCCCCACAATGTTGTAGTAGTAGTAGTAGTAGTAATATTAATAATATATTATTATATATTATTTATTATTTATACCCCACCCATCTGGCTGAGTTTCCTCAGCCACGCTGGGCAGCTCCCAATCCAGTGTTAAAAACAATACAGCATTCAATATTAAAAACTTCCTTAAAGAGGGCTGCCTTCAGATGTCTTCTAAAAACAGGATAGTTGCTTATTTCCTTGACATCTGATGGGAGGGTGTTCCACAGGGTGGGTGCCACTACCTGGAAGGCCCTCTGTCTGGTTATAACTACACTTAAATTGAGCTTTCCCAGAGGATATCAAGCACCACGCAACCCTCATCACCAGCCTGACAAATCTGGAGATGTACTTGATAATCTGATAACATAGTCTCAACTTGGTTTTTGTCATTTTAACCCATGTGCAACCGTGCTCATTCTGCAGGCCTATTTCATAGTTTTGCTTTTCATTTTTCATTTTAAAAAATTTTAAATTTAATTTCCGTACTACATAAAAGAGAAGGGTAAGATCCCCTTCCAATACAAAAGAAAAAACACATTGAACATAAACATATATAAACCTATATCCTTCCCCCCCCCTTGTGAATTCCCATCTCCCCCCATCACTCCCCTCCACCACACCTCGACTTCCTTAACTTTTAATTTCAGTACTCTCATTGCAATCTTTATTTCATTTTTTCATTTTCATCTGTTCGTTACAATTGTTCTCTCTGTTTTGTATACATTATAACGTGAATTTAAAAAAACTTTACAAAAAAATGCAGTACACATACATTGGTAGCCCTTATAACCCTGTAAGGTATGACAGTATTTTTAGACTCCTTTTGCAGATGAATTACAGCTCTCTTATCATCTCGTAAACTGCTTCAGATGTTGGTTGCAACACAGAACTGTGACACAGAAACGCCATCAATAAGGAGAGGGAGCCTGGAGCTGGAAGAAGGGAGAGCGTCTCCAAGAGAGAGGAGGGGCCTTACCTTGGCTGGCTTCTGCAGAACTGCAGCTGAGGTGCTGAGGCTCCTCCATGCCCCACAGCTCTGCGACAGCAGAAGACTCTGCAATTGAAAAGGAATTATTATTATTATTATTATTATTATTATTATTATTATTATTATTAATTTCTTCCCTGCCCATCTGGCTGGGTTTCCCCAGCCACTCTCGGAAGCTTCCAACAAAAGGTTACAAATACATTAAAACATCAGTCATTAAAAAACTTCCCTAAACAGGGCTGCCTTCAGATGTCTTCTAAAAGTCAGATAGTTGTTTATTTCCTTGACACCACCAAGAAGGCCCTCTGCCTGGTTCCTTGTAACCTCACTTCTTGCAGGGAGGGAACTGACAGAAGGCCCTTGGAACTGGACCTCCGTGTCCAGGCTGAACAATGGGGGTGGAGACGCTCCTTCAGGAAAACTGGGCAAAGGCCGTTTAGGGCTTTAAGCAGGCTCTAGCTTCTGATATAAGGATCTGATCCCATATAAGCAAGGCTCAACCTCTAGCTTTACTAAGGCAGAAATAACATTGAATTAAACACATTTGAAACCATCCACGTCGGTGGCCACCAGTACACTTTGTGACAGTGAGTTAGTGGACTATGCTGAAATGACAAAACTAACTGGAAAGCTCAGAAATCAAGATGATTTGTAAATCAAGAAAATCTTTAATAAAAAAAAGAAAAGAAATCAAGATGGTATGAAATTTAAAACAGAATGGGAAATGTTTATTATGTACAGTGGATGCTCAGGTTGCGAACGTGATCTGTGCGGGAAGCACATTCGCAACCCACAACGCTGCATCTGCGCACGCAAGGGTTGCAATTTGGCACTTCTGTGCAAAGCGTGATTTAGAGCTTCTGCACATGCGCCAAAACCCGGAAGTAACCGTTTCAGTACTTCCGGGTTCGGCGCGGTGCGCAACCCAAAATCACGCAACCTGAAGCGTCTGTAACCCGAGGTATGACTGTATTTGCAAAAGTATTGTAAACAGGTTAATACACTGGCAGGATTTTAAGAACACTTGTAATTTTACAATTAATACAGGAAATTTGAGGTAGGAAAAATAATTTGGAGTAGAAATGGCATGCAGTTGAAAAGGGAATTTAAGGAAGGGAGGGAATCCCATTTTATGGATTTGACATTGTTGTTGTGTATAAGTTTCTTTGTTTGTGGTTGTTGTTGTGTTTGTTGCTGTTTGCTACTTATTTTTGTTGAAAATTTAATAAAAATAAAAATCATCTTGTGACAGTGAATTCCGCAGGTCAGAATGGGGAACCTTTGGCCCTCCAGATGTTGCTGGACCCCCCAATTCCCACCAGCCCCAATCATTATGTTAAGTATCTTTCAATCCCTGGCAGGAAGCCTTATTTTAGATTTGCACTGATTGCAGATTTGCAACTGGGCCAAGTTCAAGGTGTTATTGTTAGTATTTAAAGCTCTTAACAACTGGGAACTAGCTGACCTAGAAGATCACCTTACCTCAACTGCTTCAGTAGGTGGAATTAGCACTACTGCAAGTGTCACAGCCTACTCAGATGCTTTGAAAGTGGGTGTGAATTTTAACCCGTCTCAGAATTTCAACTTCTTGTGCGTTTTAAGCTACTGTAATTTTTTCTTGATGATTTTCTTGTTTCATCTTTTCACAAACGGCTTTGAGGTGTTCTTCTTACAATCAAGCCACATATACATTTTATGAAATAAATAATTCTAGAGACATGCTTCTTCTTGAAAGGCTGCCGTTTTCACAATTTCTTTGGGGGTACGCAGCGCTGGGGCCCAGGCACCTCCTCATGTGCCAGCCATCCCTGGGGGTCCCCGGAAGACTCGGAAGGCAAACCTCTTGAGGCGGGGGTCTCTCTTGGGGGCCCCGGCTGCTGTTGGACTACAACTCCCATCATCCAGTGGTTGCAGGACCAGTGGGGAGGGATGCTGGGAGTTGTAGTCCAACAGCAGCCAGGGACCCATGTCAGACTAGGACCTGGGGGAGACGAGGGTTCAAATCCCTTGGCCATTAAGCCAAGGGGTGGCCTTGGGGGCCCATCGCCACCTCTCAGCCTGACCCTATCTGGCAGGGATGTTGTGGCGGGCATTGTACACCTTTGTGCAAATTAACTGAAACAAAGCATGTTTTCTGTCTTCCTCGTAATCCCGTACTCAAAACAAACACGAAAAGTCAGCTGATCATTATGGTGTTGGAAGCCTGCAGCCAATAGAAGGAATGATGCGCTTGCCGCAATATCTTGAGGTGCTACGAAAGAGAGTTATTCCAGAGCTGGAAAAGAGGTATCCTGATGGTACTGGGATATTGCAGCAGGACCTAGTCCGCTGTCACACATCGAAAGTGGGGAAGAAATTCAGGACAGAGCAGCAAATACTTGATTGGCCAGGGAATTCCCCGAACGTCAATCCTATTGAAATTTTGGGGCTATTTGAGTTGTGATGGATTTATGTTGTAAGTAAAATTAAAATTATTAAAAATCAATAAAAAAAGAGAATTTGTGGGCTATATGCAAAAGTCGCCTCCATGCTGTAGACTGTACGACTATGGAGGGATCCAAAAATTCGAAACTAGTTACAGGTAGGTGTTGGTCTGCCATAGTCGGGGGGGGGGGATTCCTTCCAGTAGCACCTTAGCGACCAATTAAGTTTGTTACTGGTATGAGCTTTTCGTGAATACAGAATACCTGTGTATGTGAAGAAGTGTGCACGCACACGAAAGCTCATACTGATAACTAGTTGGTCTCTAAGGTGCTACTGGAAGGAATTTTTTTTTGTTCGAAACTAGTTAGACTCCATGCCAAACCGTTTTCAAATGCTGCTTAAGAACAGCAGGGATCGTATCCGTGACTAATGTAGGGATACAGTGGTACCTCAGGTTAAGTACAGTCATACCTCGGGTTGAATGTACTTCAGGTTGAGCGCTCTCGGGTTGCACTCTGCGGCAACCCTGAAGTAACGGAGCGCATTACTTCCGGGTTTCGCCACTTGTGCAGACGCTCAAAATGACCGTCACGTGCAGAAGCAGCGAAACGAAACCCGTGCACACACAGACGCACCGTCGCGGCTTTCGTTGTGTTCAGGATGCAAACGGGGCTCCAGAATGGATCCCATTCGCATCCCGAGGTACCACTGTACTTCATTTGTTCCGGAGGTCCGTTCTGAACCTGAAACTGTTCTTAACCTGAAGCACCACTTTAGCTAATGGGGCCTCCTGCTGCTGCGTGATTTCTGTTCTCATCCTGAAGCAAAGTTCTTAACCCGAGGTACTATTTCTGGGTTAGCGGAGTCTAGAACCTGAAGCGTCTGTAACCTGAAGCGTCTGTAACCCGAGGTACCAGTGTATTTATACCTCACCCAGCCCCTCTGGGTGGCTTCCAACACATATCAAATGAAGCAGGATTCAACAATCCATTGGAATCCAATAGTAAACAGTAAAATTAAACACCCGCAAATCATAAAGAGTTTACACTGATCAATTACAGTGGTACCGCAGGTTAAGTATTTAATTCTTTCCGGAGGTCTGTTCTTAACCTGAAACTGTTCTTAACCTGAAGCACCACTTTAGCTAATGGGGCCTCCTGCTGAGCACGATTTCTGTTCTCATCCTGAAGCAAAGTTCTTAACCCGAGGTTCTATTTCTGGGTTAGCAGAGTCTGTAACCTGAAGCGTCTGTAACCCGAGGTGCCACTGTATCTGAGTTTTGTACAACAATAATAAGTGAGAGCTGGACCATCAAGAAGGCTGATCACCGAAGAATGGATGCTTTTGAATTCTGGTGCTGGAGGAGACTCTGGAGAGTCCCATGGACTGCAAGAAGATCCAACCTCTCCATTCTGAGGGAAATCAGCCCTGAGTGCTCACTGGAAGGACAGATCCGGAAGCTGAGGCTCCAAGACTTTGGTCACCTCATGAGAAGAGAAGACTCCCTGGAAAAGACCCTAATGTTGGGAAAGATGGAGGGCACAAGGAGAAGGGGACGATGGAGGACGAGATGGTGGGACAGTGTTCTGGAAGCTACCAGCGTGAGTTTGACCAAACTGCGGGAGGCAGTGGAAGACAGGAGGGCCTGGCGTGCTCCGGTCCAGGGGGTCACGAAGAGGCGGACACGACTAAACGACTCAACAACAACAACCACATTGTTTGTTCCATTCATTGCTTGTTTCAGTTAATTTGCCCCAGGGTGTCGGGGGAGAGAGGCTCTCCTGGGAGGACGGAGGGGGGTGGACATGTCCCCCGGCAGCCAGCAGCCCCGCCAGGGGGGCCCTCAGGGTCGCCCCTCGCCCTGCGGGGGGGAGCTGAGGCTGACAGAGGAGGGGTCGGGGGCGATTCCAGGGGGCGGGGGGCTCAGCCCCTCCTGCCAAAGGGCCCCTCCCAGAGACCCCTCCTCCGCGGTCCCCTTCACTCACCCTGGCAACCGCCCGGACACCGCGGAGCGCCGCCATCTTGCCGCCCCACAATGCTCCGCGGCCCGGAAGGGGGCGCGGAAAGGGCGCCACCATCGAGGGAGCGCGGGCAGAGCGGCGCCAAGGATCCGGTTCCGGAATTCCAACCGGCCTTGGAAGCCTGACATCTCGCGCATGCGCACACGTGTGCGCCTCGTGTCCATCTTGAGACAGGAGCCATATAAAATATTTATATATATATATATAATAATTATCTCTATTATTATTATTGTTGTTGCTGTTGTTGTTATCTTTTATGCCTCTGCATCATAAACATGCACATTATTTCTTCTTGTAGCAATAAAGCCTTGCAGTAAAATCCCCACCAAACAGGTTGAAATCTGAAGTCCATCTGCCTCTGTGGAAAGATGAATTCTTGATGGCCTGGAATAAAAAGAAAGTTTTCTGCCCGGCGGGCCTCCCCTGCCAAATCTCCAGTGGCAGGGAGTTCCACAGGACACGAAAGGCCCAATCTCTCCAAGTGGGGCAGGCAAGGAGCCAGGAGCTCTGGGGATTCTCTGAGTCAGAGGGGAAGCTCTGCAGGGGGCCAGAGAGATGCCCCCCCCCCGCCCGCCGCTGGAAAGGAAGGGAAGGCAGAGGGCGAGGCCTCCAGAGGCATCCAATCACTTTGGCCTCCTGGGTGCCCCCCACCTGAGCGATGGAAGTTCTGGATAAACTGTCAGCAGAGAAGGACATTGGCAGGATGGTTGTAATAAGCTGCAGTTTTATAAGAGTATAGATTTGAAGTAGATGAATAAATGAGCAAATTAAGTGAATTGGGATATGCAGAAAATATTAAAAATAAGTTTAAGGAACCGCAGAAAGAGGGGGAAGGAAGTCGAGTTCTGAAATGTTGAAGTGATTGTAAAATTATTACTTACTTGGCTACAAGGGATTGCCAAAGAAGAAGACTGTGGCAGAGAAGACACTGGGCAGAAGGTGGCACTGCCTTCGAAGGGAACTGTGGGGCCCGGGGCCTTGCCACTTTCTCTGCAGAAAGAAGGGTGGGTGGGATCAGGGCAGCAGTTTAAGAGCCAGGGCATCCCTGTTCATCTAGCAGATCTGCAGATTTCCATGAGTAACACTGAGGGAAGAAATTAAGGGAGATAGGAATTTCTGGGGGCGGAGAGGGGGACACCTTAGTCTCTTGCAGCACAAGGAACAAGAGTATTGTGGCACCTTCAGGACCAAGACATCAGGACGCCACAAGCTTTCGTGCACCGCAGTCCACTTCGTCAGATGCACAAAATGTCACCCTGAGCTGCAAGTGAATGTATGTGAATTTGTGTGTATGCGCACACACTTGGATTTGGGGTCAGGGGGTGTAGACAGCAGGGTCAGAAAGAAAATGCAGAAGAGCCCAGACCATGATATTGATTTTATTTCAATATTTCTAAAGCACACTTTCATACTAAAGTAATTTAAGGTGGTTTATGGCATAAAAGCACACTCCGATACCTTCAGTAAGGGCTTGTTGGCATCCATCTGGCATCAGAAGGAGATTTGCGCCAACTGCTCTCTGGTCTTCCTCCAAGTTTGCTTCGTAGCCTGAAGCTCTCCAGAGTCCCAAGGAGCCACTCAGGCTGCACAAAGGTTGTGCTGATAACTGATAAGCCGATTAACACATGTGATAAGTGTGATAAAAACCCACAAGTGATAGGATTGAACTTCTTGATGGAATTGCTATTTGGCAGGCTCACATGGCCATCTCCATTTAAATAGCCTTTGTTTGCATAAAGGCCACAGGTGTCAGAATATCCTCTTTTTATGGCCATGGGCATTTCGCACGTAAGATTTGTGTCATTTCTTGGAAATGTGAAGAGAAGGAGGGCGCCTTCTACCACATGTGGTGGGAGTGTGGGAGAGTGAGAGAATTTTGGGAAGAAGTATATATCGAATTAAAGAAGGTGCTAAAGTATACGTTTATTAAAAAACCTGAAATCTTTCTGTTAGGGATGTTAGGGAACGAAATAAAGAAGAAAGACCATAAATTTGTTTACTACGCAGTCACAGCAGCAAGGATAGTTCTCGCTCAGAAGTGGAAAAAAAAGGAAATGCCAACAATAGAGGAGTGGAGAGTGAAGTTATTAGACTACGCGGATTTAGACAGATTAACGGGGAAGATTAGACACCTAAGAGACCAAAAGTTCATCAAGGATTGGGGGAAATATGTAGATTACCTGGAATATATCAGTAAAGGCCAAATAACGTTAAGGGGATTTAGAGAAGCACTGTGAAAGACTAAGAGGTATTGTTTAAGGAAAACAGAGGAAGAAGAATGTATAATGACAATACAAACTAGGTAATGTGTATCTTTGATTTTTATTGCGGAAGATTTGAAGGAGTGAGGACCAGGGGTCCACCTGGGTCCACTTTGGAGAGCCAGGCTGGAGCCATTTTATAAGCTGAAAGCCATCTTAGAGAGCAAACTAAAAGCTAAAAAAAGACATTTCTCTCTCTGCCCTGCTTGCCCGCTTGCAAAACAATATTTTTGCAACACAGCGAGTTTGCAGGAGGATGCGGTCAGGGGATTTTGGAGCTGTTCTGAGAAACTGTTCGTTTGCCCAGGATGTCTAGCCCACCACAAGGTTCTAAGCCGAGCAACCTGTTGGAACCACAAACACAGGTGGGGGGCCAGAGCATTTACTGGAACCAGTAAATGGGTCAGAAAGATTTTAAACTCGCAGCGCCACCTAGTGTATAATGCAGTTTGGAACCGAAAGGCCAACATCAATTCTTTAATTGGTTGAGCTTCAATGAATATGCATAAAGGGGAATGTTTGAGGGCTGGGTCAAGGGTTGAACCATTGTTTTGCCTGAGGGGATAAAAACTGTTTGCCCCTGGTGTTCGGGGGCATTCTCTCTCATTTCGTCCTGAATGCACCCCTTTTTGCTTTTTGTCTGACAAAGACCAAATTGAATAAAACTTTTGTTTTAAAGAAATATTGCTGCCTGGATTTTTCCATTCTGGTCTGTATTCTGAAGTCTCTAACATTTCTGGTGCCGTGACTCGGATAGGGACCTTAAGTCCTCAAAAGACCAGAAGGCAGCTCCCTTGTCCTTTTCTAGGCAGGGCACAGGGGAAGAGCCAATAGGCCGCTTACTCCTGGCGCCACCGAGGCTTTTCTTCGGAGGAGGGCGAAGCCAATTTGACCCTTCTGCTGGATCCTGGAAGAGAAGGCAACGGATTGAAGGACCGAGGTTGACAGGACAGGCCAGAGTCCAGCCGGCTGGTGAGTACATGGAAAAGGGCCCTGGGGACAGAGGAAGACAGAGACCCCCTTGTAATTAAAAAGGGGAAGGGGCATCCTGATCACATGCCCAAGCGTGTTTGGTGGCAGTAAGGGAAGGATTGGCCCCTGATACCCACCCACGCTTAAGGATTTAAAGGAAGGCAGAAAGGAAAAAAGGGGGGGAACCGGGAGGCTAGTGTGTGTGGTACAGCGTCCAGTGAAAGAGGCACTTGGTGCCTGTGTGTGTGTAACCCCAGGGTATTCCCCTGGGGTAGAACCAATAAGTACTCCGGTTCCCAGCAGCGCGAGCTCGACTGGGCGAGGAAAATTGGGAACTGCATGTGTGTGTGTTTGGTGTTTGGGGACGCTGCACAAGGGCCATATTAAATATGGGAGGGAGTGGCTCAAAAGGTCTAATAACTCCCCTACAGTGCATGCTGAACAATTTCAAGAAAGGATTCAGCGGAGACTATGGCGTTGTGATGACGCCAGAACGCTTACGCACTCTGTGTGAGCTGGACTGGACACAGCATTGAACTGGGAAGAAACATAGGGGCCCTAGTTGGGACAGGGCAACAAGGAGTATCTTTTGAGGCTGAGTAGTTACTTAGAGAAGAGTTTCAGACTCAGATTCAGATTTGAGAGCGATGGAGGGGATCGCTCCAGAGATCCCTTAGGTTATCCAAGTTAGTATACAGAACTAGAGTCCATACAAAGCTTTCAGATCTCTGGACCTCAATGAAGGCAAGAGTTCAGCCAGGCAGAGCTGGAGGGTTCTCTGCTGAGCTGTAAGTTTGATAGTAAGGCAAGCCTCCTAGTTTCTCCAAAGCCCATCACTGAACTGTGAAGCACATGAGCCTTGCAGACCTCCAACAGTTTTGATCCCTATAGTAACTACAGGTTGACCAGGGAGGGCAAGTTAAATCCCAGAACTTAGCTAGGGAAGAGCTGGGTATCTATGTGACCAGCGGCAGTTTGGAACACATCAGGGAAACCACCAGTAGTGCCCTAGCTTCTCTGATGACCAGTGAGAGGTGGTCTATGGCTAGGAAATACGAAATGGTTTTAGACCTATAACAGTTATAGCTGAGACAGGGAGGGCAATTTAATTGGTGTCCTTAACCAGGCACCAGTTGGATGGCTCGGTGCTCAGGTGTGTCTCAGAGAACACTGCAGCAGACCCCTGGTTTGAGACTCAGGCAGAGAAACCTCAAGAGAAGACCTGCATCTTTGTGGCCACCACAGTTGACAAGTTAGTTGCCACAGAAAAAGGATGAGGGAACAGATGAAAAAAAAAAAAAAAGAAAAAGCCGGACACCTGAAACTGACCACAGGGTGTGACCAGCCAAGGTCAGGTGTCTGCTGGGAGAACTACTAGAAGTTAAAAAAAAAAACAAAACACAAAAAAACTGCATAAAACTAAAAGAGGAAGAAGAACTTTCTCCATTTAACTTGCATGAGTTTGTGAACATGGATGAAGTTCTAGAGGTTCACGTGATAATAGAGAAACCCCCCCACCCCCTGGCTGAAGAAATATAAGACTGATCAATTCAAAATTAAGGAGCACAGGCAGGAAAACGCCTCAAGAAGCCCATTTACCAGGGATCCGAGGCAAAAGTCCTGGCCCCACCCCCATATGATCCAAGTGCCGTGGTGGCCCCCTTGGGAGGACAGGGACAGCCCCATATCCCCAAAGCTCCACCGCCGCCCCAATATGCGGCCCAGGGAGCCGAAGCAGGAAAGGGGGGGCTGCCAGACACCCCAGAAGTAGACGAGGCAGAGCCCAGTGACCAGATCCTGGACAAAATATACCCCAACCTTAAAGAATTGAGGGAAAGGATGAACA